ATCCCAGGAAGTGATGTCTGGGCAGAGAAAGGTATATAAGGTGTGAGAAGACAGGAACTAAAGGCTTTTTCAAGCTGGAGCCTTTCCAGTAAGGACTCCGAGGATTTCAGTCAGAGGATTCATGAAATTGGTGAGGTGAGAGATGGTTTGTTCCTTTGTCTCTCTGATCTGCAGGCAAATTTTACTGGGGTATACAATATATCACCACACTACTTCTCTCTGCCATCTACATCTGTGTGAGGAAGATGTTAATGTTACTCTCCCCACTTCTGACTGGGAATAAATTCAAGCACCCAGCAGAGCCAAGCTGCCCTCTGTCACCAAGCAGGACTACTTAGGGAAAAGGTCCCCTAGTTGGTAAATTCCACTGGGCTGGAGGAACAGTAATCTATGTGGGAAGACGCAGCCTTGTGTAGTGCAGACCCTTGTTTCTGGAAACTCTTCATAACTGTGTGGCATCTATGCCTTGGGTGCCCAGTGGGCCCACACCCACTGTGTCCCCCAGGACTCTGTGGTGAAGATCAGCTGCTGTGGACTTCCCACAAGCCCTGAGTCCTGGACTAACTGGTAGAAAAGGCAACAAGGCTTGTGTTTTGGATCTGTGTTCAGCTGCAGCTGAGATCGTTGGTAGGGGCTATGATGTTCTCCCCTCCCGAGATAAAAGGTGACAGGCCGCCTCACAGGCATCCATTTCTATGGGTTTTGGTGGGGTATGGGGTGAGAAAGAGTCTCATTCAAAATACCCTATTTTTACTAAAAGTTTACTAAATTTACCACTAATATTATTAATAGAAAAACATACAGATTGAGAGTTCATACATTTTTTTAAATTTTATTTTATGAGGAGTAGGGTCCAAAAGCCAGTAAAAGAGTTGGAGACAGCTCCTGCTCTCACTGTTAAGAGTCCCACAGGAGGACCAAGCTACACAACTGTCACATACATGCAGAGGGCCTAGGTCTGTCCAGTGCAGGCTCCCTGGTTGTCAGTTCAGTCTCTGTGAGCCCCTGTGAGCCCAGGTTAGTTGATTCTGTGGGTTTTCTTGTGATGTCCTTGACCTCTCTGATACCTACAATACTTCCTCCCTCTCTTCTGGAGGATTCCATAAGCTCAGCCTAATGTCTGGCTGTGGGTCTCTGCACCTGTTTCCATCAGTTGCAGCCTTTACTTTACAGCTAATATCCACTCATGAGTGAGTACTTTATCCTTTACTTTACAGCTAATATCCACTCATGAGTGAGTACATACCAGTTTGTCTTTCTGGGTCTGGGTTACCTCATTCAGGATGATTTTTTTCTAGTTCCATCCATTTGCCTGTACATTTCTGTTGGAACCTGCTGACGAGTCTACTGGGTAGCTGGGTGGAGGTGTGCGGCTAATAGAGACAATGAAGAAGACCGAACAGAGTCGAGAGGTCTGCCAGTCAATGCCGGACAGTGCCTGAGTTTATTTCCCTGCCAGCTTATATACAGTCTTGAAGAACAGAATAGAACAATGCACAGCACAGACATTCAACCACTATCTGCCCTGTCCTTGGGTCAAGGAGCAGGCAGTTTCATTTTCTATCTTGATGTACCTCCAGCTGGCGTCAATAGCCTGTGTTTAGCTAGATAGTGTGTTCATGGTCTAATCAGGACTTTCTCACAGCCCTGGAGCAAGCAAGCTTGAACTCTATTGACTCCGAATAGACTTCAGATTCAAACTGGGAAACTGAGTCACTTGTGGACTCCCACACATTTCCTGATGTCATTGTTTTTAACAGCTGACTAATACTCCATTGTGTAAATGTACTACATTTTCTTTATCTGTTCTTCGGTTGAGGGACATCTAGGTTGTTTCCAGTTTCTGACTATTATGCATAAAACTGCTGTAGATGAATTTCTAAACAGTCTTATTAAATAAAAAACATGGAGCCAGATATAGAGGTTAAAGCCTGAGAGAGATCAGAGGAATAGATACAGCCACAAGCTAACCTCACCTCACCGATACCTCAGCTTCCAAATGTAAGCGACTTCCTGTCTACCCACGCCTATGTGCCTTGCTGTTCTGCCATCTGATTTGCTCTCTCTGTCTAGCTACATCACTTCCTCTTCCTGCCCAGTTCTGTCACTTCCTGTCTGTCTGTACAGACCTCCAGACCTCCATGGTTAACTAGTGTTGGAATTTAACGTATGTGCCACCATGCCTGGCTCTGTTCCCAGTGTGGCCTTGAACTCACAGAGATCCAGACAGATCCCTGCCTGCAAAGTGATAGGATTAAAGGCGTGTGCTACCTTTGCCTGACTTCTTTGTTTACTTATAATGGCTTGCCTTTTCCTCTGATCTCCAGGCAAGCTTTATTTATTAAAGTACAAATAAAATATCACCACTTTTCAGCACAAATAAAATATCACCACGAGCTGCTATGAATATAGTCGAGCAAGTGTATGATTGAGCATCCTTTGGGTATATGCCCAGGAGTGGTATAGCTGGGTCTTGGGGTAGATCAATTGCCAGTTTTCTGAGAACCGCTATATTGATTTTCAAGATGGCTGTACAAGTTTGCACCCCCATCAGCAGTGGAGGAGTGTTCCCCTTACCACATCCTCTCCAGCATGAGCTGTTACTTGTGGTTTTGATCTTAGCCAGTCAGACAAGTATAAGATGGAATCTCAAAGTTATTTTGATTTGCATTTCCCTGATAGCTAAGGATGTTTAACATTTCTTTCAGTGTTTCTTAGCCATTTGAGATTCCTTTGTTGAGAATTCTCTGTTTAGATCTGTACCCCATTTTTTAATTGGATTATTTGGTTTTTTGATGTCTAGTTTCTTGAAATCTTTATATATTTTGGAAACCAGCCGTCTGTCAGATGTGGGGTTGGTGAAGATCTTTTCCAATTCTGTAGACTGACATTTTGTCCTGTTGACAGTGTCCTTTGCCTTACAGAGCTTTTCAGTTTCAGGAGGTCCCATTTATTAATTGTCGATCTCAGTGTCTGTGCTATTGGTGTTCTATTCAGGAAGTTGTCTCCTGTGCCAGTGCATTCAAGGCTACTTCCCACTTTCTCTTCTATCAGCTTCAGTGTAACTGGATTTATGTCGAGGTCTTTGATTCACTTGGACTTGAGTTTTGTGGAAGGAAACAGATATAGATCTAGTTACATTCTTCTTCATGCTGACATCCAGTTATGCCAGCACCATTTGTTGAAGATGCTTTCCTTTTCTCACTGTATAATTTTGGCTTCTGTGTCAAAAATCAGGTGAACATAGGTGTGTGGATTTACACTTGGGTTTTTGATTCGATTCCATTGATTCACCTGTCTGTTTTTATGCCAATACCATGTGTTTTCTTATTACTGTAGCCCTGTAGTAGAGCTTGAAATCAGGGATGGTGAAACCTCTGGAAGTCCTCCTGTTGTACAGGATTGTTTTAGCCATCCTGGGATTTTTGTTTTTCTATATGAAGTTGAGTATTGTTCTTTAAAGTCTGTAAAGAATTGTGGTGGGATTTTAATGGGGAGTGCATTGAATCTGTAGAGTGCAGGCACTCAGGTGTGATCCAGAGAGTGCAAGACTCAGGTGTGATCCAGAGAGTACAGGACTCAAGTGTGATCCAGAGAGTACAGGACTCAAGTGTGATCCAGAGAGTACAGGACTCAAGTGTGATCCAGAGAGTACAGGACTCAGGTGTGATCCAGAGAGTACAGGACTCAAGTGTGATCCAGAGAGTGCAGGGTCAGGAGGGATCCAGAGAGTGCAGGATCAGGAGGGATCCAGAGAGTACAGGACTCAAGTGTGATCCAGAGAGTGCAGGGTCAGGAGGGATCCAGAGCCTGTAGTTGTATGTGGGGGAAGGGAGGAAGAAAAGTCAGGAAAATTGTGAGTCTGGGTAATATGGTGAGGATTGTCAGAACAGGGTGAGCATGTGTCTGGTGCTTGGTGTAGAAGGCTGCCTGTGCCTACACCTGAGGTAATGGCAGATACCGCTTCTTGGCTTCTGGGTCTGTTCCTAACCATATCTGTAAGTTTTCTCACCTGCCTGAAATGTGAGCAGTATGCCTCTTTAATTCTAATTCCTTGACTGATTATCCCTTAAAAATAAACCAAGAACTTAGGAAGGAGACACATGCATGGATTCAATATCAGTACTTTCTCTTCAGACTGAATTTGGATCTGCTGTTCACCCCCATGACGTTCCCTATGGGAAGCAAACTTCTGGATCACTCTTGATGCCCCTGCACTGTGCAGCCATTGTTCTAGCCGAGAGCTAGTGGGAGCTTGATTGTGCGTGTGTGTGTGTGTGTGTGTGTGTGTGTGTGTGTGTGTGCGTGTGCGTGTGCGTGTGCGTGTCACTGGTTGTTGCTTGGTGTGGTGAGGCCTCTAAATAATGTTAGGATGGTGTTCCAATTGTGTGGGTCACCAGGTGTGACTCCTATGCTCTGTTTAGTAAGCTCTGTCAGCTCAAGGTAGGAACTGTGTCTGTGTGGACGTGTGTGCCCCTGCCAGACTCAGATCTGCATGCTCCTCTGTCCTTCAGCTGGTCCATCGACTTTCTGCCACACTTCCTGTTATGTACTTGAGGCTTTGGTTTTCAACTGTGCTGGATTTGAACTCAGCTCAGAATTTCAGCAAATCATTCATCATTTGAAGATTTACCCTTTCATTTAAAATTCTGAATATATTTTTAATTAATATATATCACTTTTCTCTTCCCTTCTCCTCCCTCTAGCCCTTCCCATGTCCCCTCCCTCTGATCCCTCTCATAACCCCTTACAAGATAGGTATAGGAAATAGGATTCCATGTGCCCAGGAATTAAGGCCAGCAACCGACCCGTGAGACCTTGTGTGAACTACTACTTTAGTGAACACACACTGGCTAATTTCAGGTTAAGTGAGATAATAGTACATGTGGGTTTGGACCAAACTAAGAACGCAGACATAGCTGATGAGGTTTCTCCCTCCTCCTGTTGGGTCACCGTATTCTACGAGCTGTTAGGTTGACCTTTCCACCGTGTCTCCCCAGGACTTCGTGTCCACGGTCATCCGTCTACTTGACAGTCCATCCGCTGCCATCAGAGCCAAAGCCTTCCTGGTGCTGCTTCACGTCCTGATTCACAACCGGGACATGCTGCTGCTGAGCTGCCAAGCGAGGTACACTGCCTCTCAGAGGGTCTGTCGGGGGCCGTTGACCAGTGGTTTGTGTGTGTCCTGTAGACTACTTACTGTTGGCCATTATGTATCTGATATTGAAAACCTTTTCTGAAGTTTACCAAGAGTTTAATCTATCTCTAGTATCCTCAGCTTCTAAGCCCAGAGAGGACCCTGAGCACAAGGCAGTGAGGTCTCAATCTGGTGGGCTTTGTGCCTTCCGGGGACGGTGGTTTGCCTGGAAGCCTCTAGGCTGAGAAGCTCAAGGCCCCCATGTGGGGGTGGTTCAAGAGCAGTCCTGGGCTAGTGTCTGTCTGTCACTTTGAGACTTTTTATTTTGTTTGTTCTTTTTAGAAAGGGATGGTTATGTAGCCCAGGCTAGCCATGAGCTCTTGGTCCTCCTGCCTTAGCCTTCCCAGTCCACCACCCTGGCTTTCTCTCCGTTTCACCCTTCCTGTCAAAGGAAGAGCTGTCCCGGGTGCCCCGGAGTTCTGTTTGTGCTTGGCTCCTTCTCACCAACATTGCTTCAGTTCCTCAACCCTGCTCCACTGGGGTCCAGAGAGTCCTGAAAATCTAATTGATATCTTTTCATCTGGAGCCTGGAGCTCACTGTACAACCCAGGCTGACCTTGAAGTTGTGATCTTCATGTCTCAACCTCCCCAAGAGGTGGGATTACAGACCTCCTGGAAACCCTGGGGCATGTTCAGTTAGGCCGGGACCCTCCACACCCTCCCGTGGGAGGTGGTTCTGCTCAGAGCAGCTGCAGTGACCTCAGGATGGTGGTGGCAGTTTCATGTGGAGGATCCTGCTCTGTAAACCCTCCCAGGACAGCGCTGGGGCTGGGAGTCTCAGCTGTGGTGCCTAAGCTTCTAGCTGTGTACCGAGTGTGGCCTGGAGGAGTAGTCTCTACACACGATGGCACAATGCAGTGAGCCGGGTGTAAGCTCCCAGTTGTGTACCGAGTGTGGCCTGGAGGAGTAGTCTCTACACACTGCAGTGCAATGCAGTGAGCCTGGTGGCCTGGGCAGGTGTGCAGATTGTGCAGTTGATGGCCTGAGTGTGACACTAGTCCTTGAGGCCATGCAGCTCTGAAGTGTGGCTCCTCCTGTGTGTATGCTGTGTGATCCAGAGCAAGACTCACGTGGCTGCTGGGCCAGCCTGTGAGGGATGGTACCTCACCTTGTCTTTAAGGAGAGAAGATTCTCCCTCACCTGTGTGTGTTGCATTTGGTCAGTCACTGAGCCGTGGGGACATCAGCAGGCTGAGAGCATTCCTGTGCATGTCGGAAGCCTTGAAGGAGAACGAACAGAATGACCATGCAGCTCTCGGCAAAGCAGCTAATGGAGAAGACAATTCCAGCTGTCATTGTGACTCTGTGAGAGGTTTTATGAACATCAGCAGAACTGAAAAGAGATGGCCTCTGCAGGGACGGCCCTGGGGCTTCGGAAGGCTGTATAAACCATTGAACCAATGGCAAAGACTCAGGAATGCAGGTCACAGCCACCAGAAGACACAGAGCAGGTCCTAGAGACCTCACACACAAAGTGCCAGGGATTCTGGGGGCGAGGAGGGGCTGGGACAGATGATTTTTAACTCAGAAAGTTGGAGCAGGCTTCTTCCAGATGCACGCATTCTCTTTTGGTGCTTGCTTGACCTTGGACAGTGTTAGAAAGACCAGTGACAAGGAGACTGAGGCAGAGTGGGAGACGGTGGCCAGGTGGACTTGTTACCTCACAGCTGTGCTTTGAATCCTGGGAAGCTGACCAACAGCTCACTCAGCAGGAAGGAAGCAGCTGAGGGGCTGCACTGTCTACAAGGGAAGAGACAGACTTGAGACAGAATTCTGGGAAGGCTGGAATTGGGGTACCAGGCACTCCAGCTGCTGTCCCCTATAGAGAGCCCCCAGAGGCTCCTTGTCTCTAGAACTGAGGTGGACAGTTTCAGAGGAATAGTACCCACGGTGGATCTGTGGCTTCCGTGGGCATGGGGACACATGCATACAAACACACAGGTACAAACAGACACAGGCATATACACACGTGTACACACACAGGACAGAGGTCTCGACCTCTGAGGTGCTGTGGGAGGGGTCTCCTCCCTGGAGCCACTTCTGTCCCCTTGTCACCGGAGGGTGATGTCACCGGAGGGTGATGTCACCGGAGGCTGATGTCACCCGAGGTTGTGATGGACACACCTCTTCCCCTGGCCGCTGCCTTCATGTCTCATGGCCTCAGGTCTGTCTTGGTGGCTGATATTTCTCTCTACACAGTGTGTCCTTTCTCTCTTTGGTTTAAAGATACTTTCTTCCCATTCAAGTTCAGAATTTTATATAAAATCTTTGGGGAATATTTCTTGAATCTTTGGATTTATATCTTTTGAGTCAATTTGATTTTCAGCCATGACTTTTTAAAATACGTTTCCATCCCTCTTGCCCTGGACTCCCCTTGGAGACCGGTAAGGCATGTGTAAGGTCTTAGTTAATTGTCCTGTTACTGCCAGAGCCTCCGCTTTTTGTCCCCTCTGGGTTTTCGGCTTTATAATCTCAAATGATCTCGTCTCACATTCCCGGTTCAACTTTCAATTTTCTATGCTGTTGAATTGAGTTCATCTGGTGAAGTTTTTTGCATTTTTCATTTGGTTCATTTTTATGAACTTTTTAAAAATTTAAGACTTTAAATTCTTTCATTGGATTTAAGAGAATTTTCAGTGCTTTTTGGAAATTTTAATTTTTGATGACATTTTTTCTAGTGTTGGGGCCGCGCATGCCCCTGACACACACATGGAGTTTGGAGGGCACTCTTTGGGAGTTTTTGCCCTCCTCCCCGTTAGGAGTCCTGGGGTGGAACGCGGCCCTAGTGCGGCGGCAGTCACCTTTCCTTGCTGCTCCCATCATCAAAGCGTTTTTGTGGTGTCTGTCCATTACTCTTCCCAGCACGGGACTCACGCTGCTGTTCGCCTGTCCAGCCTGATGTTGGGTAGTGTTGTGAGTCCCAGGGCTTTACCTTGATGGGTCGTATTTGAAGGTGTTCTGGATGTTCTGCTTCCCAGGAGGTCCGAGTCTCTCCTCAGGCTGCATTGGTAGGTCTGGGGTGTGGAGGAGGGGTTGCTGGTCTCTGGACCTCTGACACTTCTCTTCTGTGGGAATTAGGTCATTGCCTTGTGAATGGAAGGCCGTTGCCAGTCAGACACTGATCCTGCTGCTCCTGGGGACCCTGAAAGGGGCCCAGCTTTGCTGGGTGGGAAATGGAAGGTCAGCCCATGACTCTCGACTTCCTTCTTCCCAGGAGAACTGGGCCACTGGTGTGGGCTTCATCCTTGCAGGGGGAAGAGGCCCTGCCCGCACCTCCCAGCTGGGGACCTGGAGCAGGCACTACAGTGGAAGGCCGACTCCTACGGCCCACTAGAACCATGGAGGGGAGGGAGAGGTCTTGTGTGGCGTCCCTTTGATCTGTTAGCTCTCTTTTTACATGGGGCTCAGGAAAGACTCGTTGGAACCGTTCTGGGACGCAGGCTTTGGAAGTACTCCGGTAATAGCTGAGGAACGGAGGAAATGAAGGAGACTCATGGCTGCACTGTTTCTTACGTGTCCCCCATCTCCCCCACCCCTGCTCTCTAGGCAGCCCACCTCCTGTTTACTCTCTGGAGTCTAATTAAGCTTGTTTTAATGTTTTAAAATTTATATTACTATTATGTCCAGTGGTTATTGGTTGTGATAGAGAACTTAGAAAAGTGAGGCCGCTCCATATCAGCAGAAGAGGGAATTACAAATCACTTTTGAATATTGCACATAGAAATTCTAGTTGCTGCAGCCTTCAGGAACGAGCTGGGGAGTGTCTTTGACAGTAAATGCACCGTCACTTTGGTTTCGGCAGTTTTACACTTGGCATTTGGCCACTATGAACGTGAGTCGTTGAGGTTCCATGCCCCAGGGTATCCAGTGGGTGTTGTTACAGCCAGCACTGATGGCATGGGATCCTGTGAGTAGTCATTGATTGACCTGGGGGTGCTCACTGGGTGCCGATAAGGGAGGAAGGGAAGGACCGGTTCTATGTTAAAATTGAACATATTTTGGTAAAAGAACTCTCAGTAGCAGGACACACCTATTTTCATGTATCTGCATAACACCCTTCAAAAATAGGAACCGAAGAAAGTTATCAAATTGATTATCTGAGGCAGGTGGGGCAGAGGGGTTACTTGCCTCCACTCACTTGTTTTAGGTTGTTACACTAACAGTGTGAAGGGACCCCAGTGGCTCACAGCTCTAAATATTTGCTCCCCAGTTGGTGGGGCTAGTTTGAAGGTCGTGACAGGTGGAACCCACTAGGGATGGCTGTGGGGGGCCTGCTCCCACTTTTTTCCCAGGTTACTCTTGAGGAGTGAGGGATAAGAGATTTAGATAGAAATATAGAGGGGAGAGAGAGACAGAAACACAGACTACCCTCAGGAGGCCCTAGATCCTTATCCACCAGCCCCTTCTGTCTTTTTTTTGGTTTTTCGAGACAGGGTTCCTCTGTGTAGCTTTGCGCCTTTCCTGGATCTTGCTCTGTAGACCAGGTTGGCCTCGAACTCACAAAGATCCACCTGCCTCTGCCTCCTGAGTGCTGGGATTAAAGATGTGCACCACCACCTGCCCGCACCTGCCTCTGCCTCCTGAGTGCTGGGATTAAAGATGTGCACCACCACCTGCCCGGCCCCTTCTGTCTCTTCTAAAGGCTTTTTATAGGAATGCCAAGGGGTGGAGTAAAAGACCTCCCCCCAGCACAGCCACGTTCAGACCCTTCCAAACACCTGGTAACCATGCGCGCGCGCGCGCGTCGTCAATCCATCCCCTTGTGCAGCCCTGCTGGGTAAAGCAAGCTCAGCTCTCACTGGGAAACCTCTGTGGGCCTCCACAGGTGGCCCTTGAAGTCCAGTCCTTCTCCTGGTTCTGGTCCAGCTCCCTGTCTCCTATGAGGGGTGGAGAGCTGGCTTCGGCTCCTGTGGCCATGAACTCTGCCATCCTTCTCTCCTGTGGCGGACTCACTGCACTCTCTGAGACGAGCAGAGTTGCTAAGACCTTAAGGTGAGGTTCACTCCTGTAATTAAAAAACAAATCCGAGCGGATAGGGGAACATTAGCAATGTTAGCACCTGCTGTCAGGCAGTCATAAAGAACGGAGGGAAGGCTTTTGAGGGGACTCAGCAGGTAAAGGCACCACCGAAGGCTGATGACCAGAGTCCAATCCCTGGAGCCCACATGGTGGAAGGAGAGAATAGATTTCTGCACTGTGTCCTCTGACTTCTACATGCGTGCTGTGGCGTGTGTGTATCTGTACTCCACACACAGACAAATCAGACAAACCAGACAAACAAACAAATGTGATAAAAAACAACAACAAAAATACCAAAAGGGTTATGGGATCCTCAAGACAGTAAAATCGATTTTTTTTTTCTAGACTTGGGAATTTGACTTGGTGATGTCAGTTGTTCTCAGGAAGACAGTGTCGAGGTGGAGGGTGGCTGGCTTCTGTTTCCTTTGCGGCCCAGGGGCTAAGTTGCTGTGTCTGTAAGAGTTGAATAGGAGAGCACACAGCTGAACTGTGTGGTGAGTTTGTCTGGAGCGGCTCCTCCCTTTCCTGGTCCCTGCTGCTCCTCTAGCAGCTGAGTCCCACATGCCATCTTGTTGCCTGTCTGCCACTGACGGCGCTTCCCACCCTCAGCCTGTGATGACCTTTATGGTACTTGGTGGATGTTTTTCCTGCTTCTTGTCATCACCGCTGTCTCTTGATGGTCTATATTTCAGCACATTTTCTGCGATGTCAGCTCTCCCATCCCTCTGCTGTGAAACTGAGCCGTCAGCATCAGATAGAAAGGATGTGACAGCTCCCAAACGTCCACCCCTTTCTTCAGATGGCTCTGCACTCAGATTGAGTGTGACAAGTGATGAAATGGGGCCTTCAGCATCTCTGGGTGTGACTGGAGCTTCAGGGGATGGATGGTTCTATCAGTTCATGAGGAGGTGTGTGTGAGCTGGGTGTGAGCGCCTCCTGAGGGATCAGACTTTCTAGAGGCTTTCTTTCCCCTCCCCCATGCATCTCTGTTAATATGGAAATCAGTGGAATAAAAAAAATACCTGCTTTGATCTTAAAAGAAAGATTTTCTTAAAGAAATATTTACTCTGGATAATTGGTTAACCGTGTGGGAAAATTTATTTTCTATGCTTATACAAAAGTTAATTCCAGATGGATTAAAGAATTATATACCCCAAAGAAACCATAAACAGCTGGAAGAGAGTATGTTTAAATCTGAGAGAGAAAAAGAAGCACGGAGGCAAATACTTGGTTTGCCTTTGTATGATCTGGAAACTTCTCCTTCCCTTAAAAACCATAGGTAAAGCACTGGGTATGCCTGCAGAGGACCCAGTTCAGTTCCCAGTACCCACAAGCACTGGGTGCTCCTGCAGAGGACCCAGTTCACCTGCAGAGGACCCAGTTCAGTTCCCAGTACCCACAAGCACTGGGTGCTCCTGCAGAGGACCCAGTTCGGTTCCCAGTACACAGCACCTGTAACTCCAGCTCCAGGGGTTGTGATGTCCTCAGACTTCCATCAGTGTTGCGCACACATGGGACACATCCATGAAGGCACAACACCTATGCACGTAAATAAAACCATAGATAAACCTTATATGCCCACAAAACTTCAAAGATTGTGTTTCACACATAATAATCTCTCTGCTTTAAAGGGGTTTCTAATGACAGGGATAGATAATTTGCATCATAAATAATTGCAGAAATGGCCAGAGAGATCCAGTGTGTGGTGCTTGCTCTGTGGGTCTGGAGAGCTGAGTTTAACTCCTGGAAACCTTGTAGGTGTGTGTGAAGAGATCAGCTCCTGGAGGTTGTCTCTGCCTCCACGTGCATGCCATGACACGTGTGTCTACACAGGATAAAAATAATGATAAAAATTAAGACAGTCATTGAAGATGCAAATTAAGGTGACACTTAGGGGTAAAAGCAGTGTTGCCGTCATACATCTGAAACGCAGAAGGTGGGGGGTTGTTACCCGTTGAAGCTGTGGGTGGGGGCACTTGTTGCCCCGTTGAGGCTATGGGTGGGGGCACTTGTTGCCCCGTTGAGGCTATGGGTGGGGGCACTTGTTACCCGTTGAGGCTATGGGTGGGGGGCACTTGTTGCCCCGTTGAGGCTATGGGCGGGGGCACTTGTTGCCCCGTTGAGGCTGCCTTTGAATGGGCAGTTTGGGATGTGTCTTTGGAACCTGATTGTTCCCAGCACCGTGAGCAAACCTGCACAGGTGTGTGCTTCTCTAGTGAGCCTAAGCAGCTGACAGACCAACACCCTGTGAATCTTTGCCAACTCTGCTTTTGCTGGGCTCCTGAGTAGCCTCCACCTTTGACACTGTGGCCTTGTCATACGTGGGCTCATTGTGGATGCACAGAGGTGTCTCAAGGATTCTGTCACATTTGCAGAGTGTGTCATTTTATCTGCGTGATTGCTGACACCATCCTCTAGGTTGGAGTCTGTCAGTGGACGTGCCCATCTTGTGGAAACAATTGCATGCTATCTCTCTTTTTTCTAGAACTTCCCTTTCTTTTTCATATTATATCAGCTGTTCTCTGTTACTGTGATAGAACAGCGTATGGAAGAGTGCATTTTGGGCTATGATTCCAGAAGGGAAGGCCATAATGTTGGGGAGGCGTGGTAGCAGGTTGCTGGAGCAGGACGCTGAGAGACTGCATCTTCAACCGTGTGCGAAACAGGCTGAAGGAACACAAGGCTGTGAACTCTCAGAAGTTGCCCTGTGACAGACTTTGCTCCAGCCAGCCTTCATGTCCTAAGCATTCCATAATCTCCTGAACAGCACCACCCAGTGAAGACGAAGCCCAAATGCATGAGCCTGTGGGGACATTTCTCAAATCACCACACATGCATGTACATGTGTGATGTGCATGTATAGGTGCATGTTTGCATTTGGGCACGTGTGTGTGCATGTGTGTGTACTTGCATGTGTGCACATGTGTGTGCATGCAGTGCAGTGTGTGTGTGTGTGTGTGTGTGTGTGTGTGTGTGTGTGTGTGTGTGTGTGTGTGTGTGTATAGGCCCAAGGCTGATGTTGGGAATTATCTCAATCTCTCTTCCACCTTATTCTTTGAGCTAGGCTGTCTCAATCAAATCCAGAGCTCAATTGATAGGGCTAGTCTTTGGATCTAGCTTGCTGTGGGGATCCTGTCTTGGACTTCTGAGGCTGGAATTACAGATGAGTCACTACGCCCGCTTGGTCTCTCTGTGAGATCGGAATCTGGTCTTCTTGCTTCCACAGTGTGTGCTCTGCCCACTGAGCCCCTCCTCAATTCTCTTCCCTAGAGCCTGAGTTTCTAAGCGGCTGCTGACGGTTAACCTGGCAGCCTGCAGCTGCACCTTAGCCCTGCTCAGCTGGAAGGCAGGATGCAGCCTCTGTGGTTTGATGGTGTCCCCCGAGGGTCCCCTGAGGGTCACACTGGTTAGGTCTGTAGTGTGCTGTGTCCCCCCTTTCAGCACTTGACTCTGTTTCTCTCTGCCAGCCAGTCAGGGTTCGGACTGGCCTTGCACAGTGGGAGAGCGGAGCCCCCTCCCACATGGCGGGGGGCTCTGACTCAGTCAGGGTCATCTCGGCCCTGTTGTTGATGGCCTGCTGCTGTGTGCCCGCTGCTGTGTGCTCGGACTGCTGGATAACAACAGGCAACTTGGATCCCATGATGCACTGTGCCAGCACTCATGTTTGGTCTCTGTGAGAAGCTCCTAATTTACCAACGAGAGCATGGCTTTGCTCTAAAAGCCCAAAGATCCGTGCTGCAACTCACTGTGCTGGCGTGTTCTGGGCCCCCTATACTGCAGGCACTCCAGAGTGACTGGTCGTGCTCCAGCAGAAGGCCCCAGGGAACATTCTAGACTCCCATTTTTCCTTTCTGGTCATACTAATTCTTACATTTCATGCCAGTCAGCATATGGATTCTGATAGTTACTAAGTACGACTCTTCCAGTTACAGATTAAGGAAGTAAAGAACCAACTAGAGTGGGCCTGTAGAAATGTTGGGGCTGCTGTAACTTGAATTTGGGTCAAAAGTCCATTTATCACCTGGCCACCATAGCTGAGTCAAAACTGATCAGACATGAATGTGTTGGATTCGGGGAGGAGTTTGCCAAGGACCCTGGCAGGGATGGGGGAGAGAGGAAAGGCACATTCCATAAATATTTAAAGCAAATTATTCCTGAATGGGAAGAAACCATGCTATAGTAACAGCATGTGCAGTGGACAGATAATGGGTTCAGCATGGAAGGAACTAGAAGGAACTGAGGGGAAGCGCCATGGCTCCATTCTCTAAGGAATACAATTTGCTGTATAGGGGTAGAACAGTCTAAAATGTTCATGGTCACCGCATGCAAAGGACCCCATTTTATCCTCCTTATCCAAAGTGAGTTCATAGAGTGTGGGATGTCTCTGTGTGTGCAGGGTGGTCTTGTCAGCTGCCTGTGAGCACCCCTGGTGAGGGCAGTTGTTGGGCAGCCTCATGGTGTGCTCGCTGGTGCGGCAGTGCTGGTTCTCAGCAAACAGACGGAGGTTTTCTTATGGGCTCACTCTGCAGCAGGGTTTCACAATGTGACTTTACCTTAAGGAAAGATATTTTAGACTTTGGAAATTAAATAACACATCATTAAATTTTGTTGTGAATAATTTAGATTTTAGAGAATATTTGAATCCTTAAAGACATGTAGGAATGTGCTTTTGTATACTCTGCAGATTTGGGGGACAGTTTTTTCTTTTGATTCTCTGACTACCAGAAGCTAAGCACCCCCCTTTTGGCTGCTCTCTACATCTAGGATAGCTATTGATTTAGGGGAGTTCCCAGGGCATCGAGAAAAACTCACTTTGGAGTTATTCTAGTTTGGGTGAAGTGGCCGAGGTGTTCTCCTGCGTTCCAGAGGCAAATGTCAGTGTTGTCTGGAGAAGGCTGACTGCAGGCCGCACAGTGCTACTCTAAGTGCATGTGTAGAGGGTGTCCTCAGTGGAGACTGGAGTCCTCTGGGACCAGGATTCGGAGTCCGAGGGATAGAAAAGATGGGACCTAGGAGCCTGGGGTGGGGGCCATGGGAAAAGGTCGGCGTTGCCTTATGTAAATGTCAGTGGAGGACAAAGAAACCTCTCCCTAAGTTCACCATGCAAGACCAGGTAGGTGTGTAGTACATTTGCTTCTGAAAAGGTGACAGAAAAACAGACTCTTGACAACCGTGGGCTCAGTTCACGGTTCTGCTGACAGGACCCACAAGCTGCATCATAAAGGAAATACTGATATATATTAACTTAAAGTTAAGAACTTCTGTTATATTCAAAGTTAAAAACCAACAAAACAACCCAAATCAAGCCACAGACCAGGAGAAGGCACGTGTCACATGAATAATCCCCCATCGAGCTTCTAACCCAAAGGACCAGAGAATCCAGGAGAAAAACAAAGAAGACTTAATGGGCCCTTCACACATGTGTCTATCCCTAGATGTTCAGTTAACACATGAGAAGATGCTGAGCTTCATGAGGATCGGGACAGCTCATAGCATATCTGTTTCATGTGCGTATACATACACATACACACATATACATACATGCATGCATGCACACACACGTACAGCAGACATCTTAAACTAACGGACAGAGATTTGCTAATGAAACTGTTTCTGTTCACCTTTTTTTGGGTCTGTGTCCACAGTTTCCCAAAAGAACTAGAGTTCATTTGAATGGTCGGGGCTTCCAAGCGAGTTTAATATTAATGACCAACAAAAGGCTGGTACCCATGGTTCTTCTTTGATCTTGGGACACCAAGAGCCCTTTGTGTGCAAATATCTTGGTTGGTCGCCATCTGTCACTTGGAGAATGTATCTTTCCATTGGGCAAAGGCAAATGAAATCAGGATGTTGTTTACAGCATGGGCAGAGATGTTTAATGCAGCCTTGCTTCTGCATAAATGCCCAAGCTTGTAAAGTGCAGCTGACTATGCCTGGCCAGTCAGCATGGCTGGGACTGCACCTCTGGAAACACTTGCCTCAGTGGCGTTTAAAACAGACACTATCTACCTTATCATGAGCAGTAATCTTTGCCTGGTGCTCTTTGCAGGCTGGTGATGTACATCGAGAGAGACAGCAGAAAGACCTCCCCGGGCAAGGAGATGCAGGGTGGGAGCGAGTACCTGGCCAGGTGCCTGGATCTCCTCATCCAGCACATGGTACAGGAGCCACCACGGATCCTAGGTAAATGACAGCCACCTTATCCAGGCCCTTAGCTGTTACCTTTCTGCAGTGTGTTCTGCATAGCCTCTTACTCAGTCTTGCTTTTCTTCTATTTTAAAAACTAATTACTTGGGAATTTTATATGTTGTTTGAACATACTCACCCCCTCAACTCCTCCCCTTCCCGCCCCACTTTGACTTCCTCCTCCTCCTCCTCGTCATTGTTATCTTCGTCAGTCTCCTTCATCTTCGTTTACTCCTCCTCCTCCTCCCCCAGTCAAGCCCAGTCTGTGTTGTCCAGTTTGTCTTGGGATTGGGGCTCTGAGGTGTGATCAGTCCACTACGGTGTATCAGTAAAATAAAAGAAAGCAACCCACTAACTGACTCCTGCTCCCAGCAGCCATCAATGGTGGCAACACATCTGTTTCCTCATCTCCAGGCTGGGATTTTGTCTGGCTGGAGCTTGCACAGGACTCATGCATTCCTTCACAATCTCTGAGTCTCTCAGTCTCTGTTGTTGCAGGGCAGTGTGGAGACGTTCCTCTGGAATGTGTGGCTTTAAGACTTACATTGCCTTGTCTGTTTTATAGGATTGAGATGTGTTACATTTCTGTGTTATAGCAACACTTTTTTTTTTCCTTTCTTTTTTTTAGACAGGATTTCACAGTGTAGCTTTGGAGCCTGTCCTGGAACTTGCTCTGTAAACCAGGCTGGTCTCAAACTCACAGAGCTCTGCCTGCCTCTGCCTCCAGAGTGCTGGGATTAAAGACATGTGCCACCACCACCTGGTGATCATAGCAACTCTTATACAGAAAGTATTTAATTGGCACCATTATCATGACAGGAAACATTGCCAGGTGCAGGCAGACATGGTGCTGGAGAGGCAGCAGAGAGTTCTACCTCCGGATCAGCAGGCAGCAGGAAGAGACAGCCACACTGGGCCTGGCTTGAGCATCTGAGCCCTCAAAGCTGTCTCCCAGTGACACACTTCCTCCAACAAAGCTACACCCACTCCAGCAAGGCCACATCTCCTAAGAGTGCCATTCCCTATGAGCTTATGGCCATTTAAGAAAATAAATGAGCTGGAAACCAGGATGTGGTTCAGTCAGCTCGGCTCACATGCATGAAGCTGTGGGTTCCATCACCAGCACTACATAAGGAAGTGTGGGGGTGCCTTCTTATAACCCAGTATTCAGGAGGTAAAGGCAGGAGCTCAGAAGATCAAGGTCATCCTTAGCTACATAGTGGGTTTGAGACCCTCCTAGGTCTCAAATAGAAAAAAACAAAACTCCCAAAACAAAAATCATCCCCAACAACAATATTTATATTGGATTTTACATGGTCAGTTTGAGTTAATTTTCTCAAGATTTCTCTCTGCCCATATAGGTACTTGATCCTAACTAAAAGGCTGAGAAGTGACCTGCCCATACTTAAGAAGTAAATTTCCCTTGAAATTAGAGCCATAAATATATTTATTATTAAAAGAATTTTAAAAATGTATATTTTGTTTTGTTGGTTGGTTTTGTTGTCATTATTGTTGTTTGAGACATGGTCTCTTTATGTAGCCCAGGCTGGCCTGAGACTCAGAGCTCTGTCTGCCTTTGCCTCTTGAGTGTTGAGACTAAAGGTGTACACCATCACACCTGTTTTTGTTTTTTATTGTTGTTTGTTTCATTTTTTTGAGACAAAGTTTGGGGTGGAATTGAACTCACTGTGTAGCAGAGGCTGGCTTTGAACTCCTGATCCTCCGGCCTCTATCCCCCAAGTGCTGAGATTTGAGATGTATAACACCACATCCAGAAACACAGGTTTTAGTTTCTAATTTGAAACGTTGGAGGTCGATGTCACAGGTTTTGGTGGTGGTGGTTGTTTGAAGAGGTACCTCTAACATGAGAACATGTAGGGACAGCCTGCAGAGGGTGCTGACTGCCCTGAGGAAATGCCTTGCTTGTTGTTTTCGGGAGTTAAAGTGACAGGAGGAGGGCTCAGGGCTGCTCTGGCTCCTTTCTTTTGCGTTTCCAGCAGGTGGAGCTCTAACCCGGAAGTGTTCAGCACATTAAGTTTGACTCAAGCCGTCTTAGTGAAGATGACGATGTCATTGTAACTGCCAATAACTCTTACTAATCAATTAGGGAACATTTTCCATCTAATGACCGGAAAGAGAGCACCTCACAATTTAGCCAGCAAAAATGATGGAAACCGGGGCTGGAGAGATGGCTCAGCAGTTAAGAGCACTGGTTGCTCTTCCAGAGGACCTGGGCTCAATTCCCAGCACCCACACAGTGGACTTATAACCATTTGTACTCTAGTTCCAGGGGATCCGATGCCCTCTTCTGGGGACCTGCACGCGTGCATGCACACACACACACACACACATACACACACACACACACACACACACACACACACACACACACACACACACACGTGGTTTGAAAGAAAATGCCCCAAAGGGAGTGGCACTGTTAGGAGGTGTGGCCTTGTTGGAGGAAGTGTGTCACTGTGGAGGCAGGCTATGAGGTCTCATATATGCTCAAGATGCTGCCCAGTGTCTCAGACCACTTCCTGTGACTATTGAGTCAAGATGTAGGACTATCAGCTCTTGCTCCAGCACCAAGTCTGCCTGCACACCACCATGTTGCACCATGATGATAGTGGACTAAACCTCTGAAAATGTAAGCCACCCCAATGAAATGTTTCTTTATAAGAGGTGCTGTGGTCATGGTGTCTCTTCACAGCAATAGAAACACACACACACACACACACACACACACACACACACACACACACAAATAAAAATAAATCTTAAAAGTTTTGAACATTGATCTCTTTTCCCCCATCCCTGGCAGTAGCCTCTCACGCCTTTAATCCCAGCACTTGGGAGTCAGAGGCAGGTGGATTCCTGTGAGTTCATGTCCAGTCTGGTCTACAGAGAAAATTCCAGGACAGCTAAGACTACAGAGAAACCCTATCTTGAAAAAAAAAATAATAATGCTTCCTCTTTTCTCTATCCTGTTTTTCTTTCTTTCTTTTTCTTTTTCAGGTTGTATTTTATAATCTGTTTACTTGTAATTTTAAATTAGTTTTCTAAAGCAATAAGCAATAATAGTCAATTTGAATAATACAAATAAATACATTTCTAAGACCACTACTGTATCATAACTGTTTATAAATTCTCTTTTTAATTTCTAGGTTAGAGGTCAGTTGATAGTGGCTCTACAGATTGCCACACTCTGTCCAGAGGCTACAAGTGTATTTATATTACCAGCGTGTGTGTTGCTGGGATGTGGCTCAATTGGTAGAGTTCTTGCCTAGGATGCACAAAGCCCTGGGTTTGATTCCCAGCTCTTCATAGAATAAGATATGAGGGCACACACCTAAAACCCAGCACTTGCCTGTAGCTCCAGCACCTGGTGGAGGAGGCAGGAGGATAATCTTCATCTATGTGTTGAGTTGGAGGCTAGCCTGAGCTGGTGAGACCCTGTCTCAAAAAACAAACAAACAAGAAAAGGTGTGAACAACCCGCTGGGTTGTGACGGAGCTGTGGCCAGAGGCTCCTGTCCCTCTGTGGTTTCTTACCTTCATACCTCCCTGATGTGCTTCACAGGTGACATTCTCAATGCCCTGGCAAATGTGTCTGGCCGAAAGCACCCATCCACGGTCCAGGGGAAGCAGCTGAAGATGTGTCTCCCCATGATGTCTGTGGTGCTCCACCTGGTCATGTCTCAGGTACCCCTGTCTGGGGAAGCTGTAACACGTGTGGACCCCAGCCTTGTCCCCTGGAGTGGAGCCATCTCTACTGAGATGACTCTTCCATCTGTTTGTCGGGATGTAATCCAGGGAACTCTCGCCCCACAGGTGTTCCGGCCTCAAGTGGTGACAGAGGAGTTCCTGTTCAGCTATGGGACTGTTCTTGTGAGTAGCACGCTGCCACTGTTGCTGGCTGCGGGATGGGCTGTGACAAGGAAGGAATTAAAAGTCTAAATGGCATTTGTTTGTAGGGAAGTGACCTTTTTATATTTTTATCTGTTCACTGTAATAAAATTTGACATTTGGGGAAAATACATTCTCTCCTGATAATGTATTTTGTTCAGAGACAGCCCCTAATAGGGTAAAAAAAAAAAAAGCTCACATAAACACTCGATAGACATCAAGTTAAGGATTTGAAAGGACATGGGTGAGAGTGGGGGCTGAGAATACTGTGGTTGCTGACTTGGTTCGGCGCTCTCTGTCCAGCCTGTGCATGTCTCTCTAGGATGACACTTTACGAAGTTAAACTCAGTTTTGTTCCTTCTTTTACTTGACTTTGACAATGTGAGAAGACGGGAAAGCCAAGTGATTGTGCTACTTTTCACTCTGGTTCTGCACACGTCTTTCTGAGGATTCTGTAGCCCAGGAAGTCAGTGTGTGCGGTGGGTGTGCGGAGGGAAGCTTAGTGACGTCACTCACCACCTGGAGCCTGACCTTGACAGCTTCACGAAGCCCGGGAGGTTAGAAGGTGTCCTGGAGCCATGCACACAGCACAGTGGCGTCTCAGTGTCAGTGTAGTTCTGCAGGAACAGAGTGCTGCTGCTCAGGAGCGAGAGGGTGGTTTTCTAGAAGGTTCATTCTAGGAGAAAGGTGATGTTTCTAAAACACAGAGAATGGAGATGTCTGGGCAGTCATGAGGGACTCTTTGGTGTTGAGTTTCGACTTTATTCTCATGCTATGAGTCCCGAAGTCTAGAAAATTCCTGCGGTGGGCTGTGCATTTTTCTGTATTTGTAACGCTTGCACTGATCATCTCTCACTGTCTGTAATGTGCACTCTGTCTCTTGGCAAGACCATATTCTTTAACGACACGACATACATGTCGAGGTCTAGAACAGGCTTGGGCCCTGTGGCCTGTTGTGGAGTGTTGAGTAGATAGACGTGGCCTGTGTTTGTGTGTGCTCTCCTGTAGATGTAACCAACCGTCTTATTAAATAAGGAACACAGAGCCGATTCAGAGAAGAAAGCCAAGAGGTCAGAACTAAGAGCCTTACCCTTCCTGCTTCAGCCAAGAGAGCTCTCCGAAAAGGGACCTACTTCCTGTGTGTATGTCTTTATATAGTCTAGCTGTTCTGCCTTCTCATTGGTTGTAAACCCAAACACGTGACTGCCTCGTCACTGCCTGTATGTACAGCCCTCCAGGTCCTCTATGGTATTGAGATTAAAGGCGTGTGTCTCCAATGCTGGCTGTATCCTTGAACACACAGAGATCTACCTAGCTCTGTCTACCAAGTGCTGGGATTAAAGGCGTGCACCACCACCGCCACGCTCTTGCTATGGCTGTAATAGCTCTGACCCCCGGGCAACTTTATTTATTAACATACAATTAAAATCACATTTCAGTACAAGTAAAATACCACCACACTCTCCCCCAGCTCCTTCCCACTCCCTCCCTCCCCCACCTCTCTTCTCTGCCTGCAGTGAGCACACTTTATGTTTTCACAACCTTGCAAGTGTCCCGTTGGGGAGCCTCCACGGACCTTCAGCGCCTGCTTCAGGGAGGGAGCACCACATGGGCTCAGAGACAAGAATGGAGGCCCCACTGGGGAAGGGCCTCCTCTCTTCTCTTTCCTGGTCTTCTGTAGGGTTGCCTCCACGCAGGTGTCTGTGGAGAACTGAAAACAACTTGCCTGGTTCGTTATGATGTGAAAAAAACCTTCACATTTCTTTGTCTTTGGTTCTCAGGAGGGAGTTTAAACAAATAAAATGGCAAACATTGTATTTTAAGGCTGGCGAGATGGCTCCGTGGTTAAAGGTGCTTGTAGACAAGCTCAACGACCTGAGTTGGAGCCCCAGATCCATACAAGGGAAGGAGAGGCCTGTAGCTAGAGTTTTCCTACCTGGCCCACAGTCAGGACAAATCTCTCTCACCCGCCAGTCCCACAGCAGCTCAGACCCGACCAAGTAAACACAGAGACTTATATTGGTTACAAACTGTATGGCTGTGGCAGGCTTCTTGCTAACTGTTCTTACAGCTTAAATTAATCCATTTCCATTAATCTATACCTTGCCACGTGGCTCGTGGCTTACCGGCATCTTCACATGCTGTTTCTCATCGTGGCGGCTGGCAGTGTCTCTCTGACTCAGCCTTCCACTTCCCAGCTTTATTCTCCTCCTTGTCCCGCCTACACTTCCTGCCTAGCCAATGGCCAATCAGTGTTTTATTTATTGACTAATTAGCAACACATTTGACATATAGAACATCCCACAGCAGAGGTCTGACTCCTGAAAGTTATCTAAGTGCACATGCGTGTGCATGCAGGTGTGGGCACACACACACACACAGGCATGAGATGCTATTTGGGCTATTTTCCCAGTGAAGCCACTTTCCTAGTCTGCTGGTCCTAGGGTATCTCCATGACTTTTCTCACTGTACCTGTTTGTACCTTCTTGAACTCAGTGTTGATGGCACTGATGTGACACTGGAGAGCAGTGGGTCACTGTCTAATCCACAGCCTGGTTCAGCTACCTGTGCAGTTTGCGTCCATTTGTCATGAGCTGTTGTTGTGACAGGAAAGCTGTCATCAGATGTTGCTCTTATGGGTTAATCTTCCAGAATTATCAAAAATATTATTCCAGTTCCTGTATCCTTCTGATGTCAGCCGAGAGAACCAGCCTACCTCACATCTTCCAGCCCCTGCAAGTGAGAAGTGTAGGCTGGCATACAAAAGCTTTGAAAACATTTGTTTTCGTTTTGGTTAGCAAAGGTTTCCTAAACATCCCTGGAGTCTACAGAGCTCATTCAGAAGAGTGTCACACACGGTCATACACAGAGCAGTGTGGAAGCTGGAAGTTGACCGTGGGTGTCTTTCTCCATCTCTTTTGCTCTTTATTCTTTGAGACAGGGTATGTTGTGGAACCCAGAATTTGCTGGTTATCAGTGAGCTTCTGTCCTGCCTCTGCCTTCCCATCTTACATAGTCAGCTCCAGGCATCACTTGACATGACCCAGCTGGGGGGGCGGATCTCAATTGACAAATTGCCCAGAACAGATTGGCCTGTGGGCTTGCTGTGAGGCATTTTCTTAATTGCTAGTGATGTAGGTGGGCCCAGCCCACTGTGGGCGGTGCCATCCCTGGGCAGGTGGGCCTGTTGCATAAGTGAGCTACTGAACAAGCCAGTAAGTGATACTCCTCCATGGTGTCTGCCTCAGGCTCCTGCCCTGAGTTCTCTCAGTGATGGACTGTGCCCTGTAAGCTAAAACAGACCTTTTCCTCCCAAACTGTTTCTGGTTGTGGTGTTTATCACAGCCACCTGGGACACCATTGCTGTGGGTTCGGGTGTGCCCTGCAGCGGCGCCGCCCTGCTGCAGCGTGGGTCTGGGCATCGGACTGGGCATTGGACTCAAGTCCTCACGCTTGCTCAGCAAGCCCTCGCCCCCTGAGCCGTCTTTCTAACCCAGCACAGCGGATGAAAGCTTTGCGAAGTCCATCTGGAGATCAACATTCTTTTCAGTATTTTCCAAGTACGTCCGAGTAGTCTCCATCGCAGCAGGCTTATCAGTTAGCTTTAAAAAACTGCCTGGATCTGAGGTACTCCGTTCCAGCCAGGAACAGCCTATGCCGGAACTTCCTGCCTGTGGGTAAAGTGGGCTGGAGAGAGGCCCCGAGCTGCCGTGTCTTCACTCACCGCAAGGGTTCTTAAGGGGGACCTGGAGGGTATGGCCCTGTGCATCTCACAATGGCACCAGGCCACGGTTTGCTGTGGTGTGGAAGGGACATCGCCATCCTCATCAGAGCAGCTGTGACAACTTGGCATTTCCCTCACAGGAGGGAGGGCACTAGACCCCTCCCAGCTGTATCCTGTTCTACCTCAGTTGCACATGATCGTGTGGTCTGAGGAGGCTCTAGAGCAGTGGTTCTCAACCTGGGGGTTGTAATGACCCTTTCACAGGGGTCACATATCAGATATTTACATTATGATTCATAACAGTAGCATTATGAAGTAGCAACGAAAATAATTTTATGGTTGGAGTCACCACACCATGAGGATCTGTATTAAAGGGTCGCAGCGTTAGGGAGAGTGAGAACCGCTGCTCTGGAGTGTGTAGAGGGTGGAAGGTGGCTGAAGGGAGATGGGGAGACTCGGTCTGTGCAGCTGTGGGAACATGTCATCCATGCCGGTGGTGCACTGCCTGTCACCCTCAGCCCTGCTCGGTGAGGAAACCCAATAAACCCAGTGGCTGGCTAAGCCGGACACTGATGGAGTGGCTGCTTTGGTCTGTCGTTGGTGCTCCTTTATGGTAGAACATTCTAGATGATTACATATGGGACATGAGTGTAGAAATTAGCTCTACATAAACATTTCCCCCAAATAAGTGAAATTTGAGTCTTAAGGCGACTGCTATTTTACTGCAATGGCGGGTGCTTTTAAACCATCTTGGGCTTTCACAGGCTCCATAGAAGGAGGATTAGCTAGCTGCTAATTGCTGCTTTCCACCCTGCTGGGGAGGCAGCCTGTCCCCACACCAGCTGCCTCTTCAAGGCTTGCAGCCAGAGCTGGGGAGGCTGTGGGGACACTGCTATGGATTCTCATGTTTTGAGGCCCCCATTGAACTGGGCCAGAAAACAGGAAGTGTTGGCAGGGAAACCAGTGGTGGGTCCTGATGGATGTTGACCTACTGTGCACTGTGTTTCCTGGGTCCTTCCCCAAGGTTCTTGGTTGATGAGCCCAGGACAGGGACTTGTCTGTGCATGCTGGGTTCTCAAGTCCTGCTCTCTCTGGACTGTGGAAGTGCAGTGATTGACAGGCAGGACAGTCCTGCCTCTGTGCACAGCTTTCTGACAAGTGAATGCTGATTTGTTGATGGCACTTGGTTTGTGTTGTGGAGATGGTGCCCGCCATGCTTTAAAACAAACCGCCAAATGCTCTAATGATGTTCTTGTGAGGAGTTTTTCTGTCTGCACTGACTGCAGACTCCCGTCCCCAGCTTGTTGCCGGGGGTGGGGTGGGGTGGGGGATTTGTTTGCCTCCTGGAAGGAGGCCTGAAACACTGAGCTGGGCAGGCCTGCTCTTGGCCGCAGCAAGCCCTTTACCCACTGCACTGTCTCTGCAGCCCGACAGGGCTCTTCTCTGCCCTCAGTCTTGCAGCCGATGGCCTGGCCCTGGGTTCTGTGTGGGGACTGCTCTGCTGCCCACGCTCTCGGTGGCCATCTGCAGATGCTCTGTGTCCTGGGGTCACCTGCAGCTTCAGGTGACACTGCTGCTTGCTTTCCTGGTGCTGTGCCACTGACCACACAGCTTAAGGAAGAATTTATTTTGACTCAAAGTTAAAGGGTTATTTTACCATCTGGATAACTGCTATTGACATGAAAAAAAAAGAAAAAAGAAAAATTAACTTTAAATCCCAAGGATGTATGAGATAGTGGGTGGTGGCTGCAGTCTGTCTCCTCAGGACCCAGGGTCCTGTCTTTTCTGGGTGTCTGTTGTGAAAGCTGCTGTCAAGTAGTCAGCCTTCCTGTAGAGTCTTCAGAATAATTGCACCGAAAGGATCGATGTGCACAGCCCTGTGCTCACTGTGGTCACCACAGAGAGCACACACAACCCTCTGCTCAATGTGGTCACCACAGAGAGTGTACACACAGCCCTGTGCTTGCCGTGGTCACCACAGATAGCTAAGTTGATTTTTTGTTTTTTTTTTCTTTTGTTTTTCAAGACAGGGTTTCTCTGTGTAGCTTTGGCACCTTTCCTGGAACTCACTTTGTAGACCAGGCTGGCCTCAAACTCAGAGATCTGCCTGCCTCTGCCTCCTGAGTGCTGGGATTAAAGGCGTGCACCACCACCACCACCACCACTGCCCGACCTAAATTACCTTTTTTAAAGTCAAAGATGTTAAAAAATATTCTGATGGAAAGAAGCTTATTTTGGTTTGTCATTCAAGTGGACCACATCCCAAGGTGAGGTCACACTGCATATCTTTGCCCATTGTCTTTCTTGTGAAATAATTTTTGTTTATTGGGGATTTGTGTGCATACACCACAGTGCCTGTGCAGATCGCTTGCAGGAGTCCATTCCCTACTTCTGTCCCTGGGAGTGAACTCAGGATGTCTGCCTTGGTGCAAGCTCCTTTACCTGCTGAGCCAGCTCGCCTCCGCCTGTCCCCTTTAAAAAAAGACATTTCTTTCTGAATGTTTAGTTTGGCATCAAATTAATATTAATTTAAAAATTGTGTCTCAATTTTGGAAATTTGTGAAACTCTTTCATCCAAGTTGTTATAAAAAGCTTCTGTAGCGCTCTTTTACAGTGAACTTTAAACATCTTTGCTTGCTGATCTGAAGAGAATTGAGGTTTTGAATTTTTGCTTTTTGGAGAACTTTGATTTCCTGAATTCTTGGGCTTTGTTTATGACAAACCCCTTCACATTTCCATTTGTGCTCCTTCCCACTGAGGCAAAAGAAAGAGAAGGAGAAGGAGCAGCTCCGCTGGGGAGCCCAGCCACCTGTGACCGGGATTTTTTCCTGGGCATTTTTATGACTAACTATTGTTTCATTTGTATGGAATGTATAGTTTGATATAATTTTAGTAAAAGATACATCGTGGGTGCTGAAGAGATGGCTCAGTGATTCGGAGCACTGGCTGCTTTTTTAGAGGTCCTGCGGTTCAAGGTCCCAGCATCCACATGCAGCTTACAGCAACCTGTAACTCCAGCCTCTGGATCTGGTGCCGTCTTCTCGCCTCTGTGGGTCTCAGGTGCACATGTGGTACACAGAAATACATGCAGGCAAAACACCTTCCACATAAAAATAAAATTTAAAAGATATTGTTTAAAGACTTCATTAAAATGCTCAGAGATGCATGTGTTGGAATATTTTAAAATATCCAGGAAATGGTAGTTCCAGGGCAGTGGCTTCCTTGCTGGGGTGGGTAGTTCACGTGAGGAACTGAATGTTCTCGGTCTGTCAACTCCACTAGTAGTTGGAGAGGTCCCTTATTCTCCACAGCACAGTACACACAGTCTACTGTGTAGTGCACATGTATATATTACCTTTTTTGTTTATCGATTTTTTTTCTTTGCTCATTTGGAGACATAGTCTTGCTATGTAGCCCAGGTTAGCCTTGAATTCACTAAACAGTTCAGGCAGGCCTTGGACTTATATTGATCCTCCTGCCTCAACCTCTTGATTGCAGGGAGCACAGGCTTGGGCTACCACATTTGGTTAAATCATATCACAGTAGACCAATTTCTTCTCTGGGTTAATAGCTAATAGCTAGTTACTTTTCAGTTCTATGGTCATCTTATATTTTATTTGCTATTTACCATACTTTTGGATGGATTGAACCCAGGGCCCTGTGTATGCTCGACAACCCTCTGCCACCAAGCTATAGCCCCAGCCCTAGTGCTGGGTATATACAAAGCATTATATTTGATGGTGTTTGTGAGCTAAAGGCATGAACAGTGGTGTGTGACTGTGTACAAAGGACACGGGTTTTGCAGGGTGACAGAGACCATCTCCCTGAGCTCACAGTCAGGGAATAGCTGTCCTGTTCAGATCTTCCAGCCAGGGACTGAGGAGGGAAACCATCAGGGGCCCATGGCCCAACTGCTGAGTCTTTCCTCTCACACGGTACTGTGGTGTATGCGAGAGTGGATAGGGTTTGGAGTAACTCAACACAGTGGTGATTCTAAGTTGGGCACTGGGTAGTGTTGAAACCCTAGAGGCCTTGACACCCTGCGCACCAGGAACTTCACTGTCACCATGTGAGGTGTCAGCCATTCGTGACACCCTCAGGAAGTGAGGGGGACAGTGGCATGGCACTGGGAATGGTTATCAGCTAGAGAGAGAGAGAGAGAGACAAGGTCTCTTCACACCATAGGTAAGGCTGGCCTTGAATTCACTGTGTCACTGGGTAGCCTAAAGCTCAAGGCTACCCTTCTGGCCCAGCCTCCTAAGTGGTGGGATGACAGCATAAGCCACTGTCACCGGTGGCCATTCTCACTTTTGTAAGTTTTTTATTGTCACTGAATTATTACAACATTAAATCTCATTTGTATATTTAAAAATCATGGTTTTAATATATGTATAGTAAAATTTTGATGAATTATTTTTAGGGGGCTGGAGAGAGATTGCTCAGCAGTTAAGGGCACTTGTTGCTCTTGCAGAAAATCTGGGTTTAGTTTCTAGCACCCTGTGGTGGCTTCCAACTCTCTTTAACTCTAGTTCTAGGGGATCCAATGCCCTGAGTCCTTGGGCACTGCATGCACATAGTCCACATATTTATGAGCAAATCACTCATGTACATAAGCCTTAAAAAATTAAAACATTCCTTTAAATTAAGTGTATGTATGTATCTATGTGTGCGGGGTGTGCACATGTGAGTGCAGGTACCTGAGGAGTCCAGAGGCAGGTGTCAGATCTCCTGGAGCTGGAGTTACAGTTGTGAGCCATCCTTGGGTGCTGGGAATTGAACTCTTAACCTTTGTGCCAACTTTCCATATATCTGAATAGTATATTATATGTATATACTCTGTATAGCGTTTACATAAGCACATTTTAAACTGATTGCAGTGTTGGTGATGTGTGGTTTCAGGCAGAACATTAACTCCTCACGTTTTATTTCAGAGTTATTTCGAAACTCCCATTTATTGAACACTTCTCCTTTTTCAGAGTCACATTAAGTCAGTTGACTTGGGAGAAACAAACATAGATGGAGCCATAGGTGAGCAGACACATTTGATGCATCTGAGTCATGAGGGGCACGGGTGGACGCCTGCAGTAACGACCTCTGTGATCCTAGGGATGGTGGCTTCGGAGGAATTCATCAAGATCACCTTGTCGGCATTCGAAGCAGTGATACAGTACCCCGTTCTTCTGGCTGACTACCGCTCAACGGTCAGTTTCTAGGAAAACCCTCAGTCATTTACTTGATAATCCTGTGTACATGTGTGCCAGGCTGACAGGTGTCCATCCCGGGGAGGAAACCGTTCAAAAAAGCAGGGAGAGCCCTGGGAAGCTGGTTCCAATTTTGTTGGCTGGGGAGGGGTAAGTTTTCTGACTATTCCCTTGACTTCCCTCCCCCTTCTCAGAAGCACACACCTGTGGGAGAGGCTTTGTAGACACTGAGGATGTGCCCTGCTTCTGTAGAGCTGGGATTCTGGGCTCTCCTGGCCCCTACTGTGCTTCTGCCCAAGTAGCCACTGATTTGGGTTGTTTTCTTCTTGTAGACATTTTGCTTGTTTTTTTCCTGTCCACATCTACTTTGCCTCTGTAGTTTCCTGATCGCTGTAGACGGCTCCACTTGGTGATGGGTTTGTTTCATTCAACTGCTAATACCAACATCTCTGGTGTCGGTCACTTTGTGCTCCTGGCACAGTCGTCCAGTGTCTGTGAGACTGCCTTGTTGGCACCCTGCTTGTCCTTCCTCCCAGAGCCTTCTGTGTGCCTGCCTCCCTCCTCAGATGCCTCATGTTGGCCTCTGCCAGGAGCCTGCTCTCCTCCAGTTGAGACCCTGTCAAGCCACAGCCTTCTCTGAGGACATGCTTCTGTGTTCTGGGAGCGATGTGTGGCCAAGGCTTGGTGGAAGAGCTGGTGTTCCCTACCCTGAGATCCCCTCCTCGGCACAGACCCATGTGCCAGGTGGCTCACTAAATGCTGTGCTGGCAGGAGCCAGGGATCCCAGGAATCCTGTGGTGGTTTGTGGGTGAACGCTTCCTGTCATGGTCCATCACTTTCTGCTGCAGACTTCCATCCAGAAATAGGTCTCAAAGGCTTTAATAATGTTAGGATTTGGGTTTTTTGTATCTCATCACAGTTTTCAATGAGAGTTGGTTCACATTCCGCTCACACCTAACATAACAGGAAAGACCAGTCACGGAGCTTTCCCAGTGAGTTCCAGGTCTTTGATTGAGATGTCACTTATGGATCCTGTTGCTTAATGAACAATAACCTCATGACTGATTTGTTCAGATCCACTGTTTATAAATATCTGTATTGCATTTAAATAGAAATTTAATTAGTGTGTTTTCTAATCATGAAACACAAGTGTGCTAATTATTGCCACTACAGCCTCAATTATGATAGAAAAGGCATAGTCACAACTTACCACTTTATAAAAAATGCTCTCTAATGCCGCAGCTCATGGGAAATCTTCTAATTATCTCTTTTTGGGCATGACTGGAATGCATGAAGAAAAAACCCTATACCCCAGGGAGCCTCTGATTGTTTTAGATTTCAGCACATGCCGTGTTCAAGGCTCCTGATCGATACCTGCTCATACGGAAGCAGATGACTGTATTTAACTGTTACTGAGCCTGGAGCCAGCCCAGGTGCTTCTGTGGGGTGGCTAAGCCATTTTGTTTCAGTGGGATCACTGACGTCAGCTCCAGCCAGGACAGGTATCTTGTGAGTCACGTTATACTGAGTGGGGGCCTGACCAAGCAGGCATCGCTTAGAACAAGACAACTCCAGATCCACCTTGACTGCCAACGTGACACCTTGGAAGGGAAGGAGTCTCCACGGGGAACTGTCTAGATCAGGTTGTCCCGTGGGCATGTCTGTAGGAATTGTCTTGATTGTGGTAACTGTTGTGGGGGGGAAGCCAACCCACTGTGGATGGCACCATTCTCTGGGTTTGTGTCCTGGACTGTATAAAAGAAGAAAAAGTGAGTGTGAGCTAGCCCAAAACAGTATCAGTAAAGTGAGTGTGAGCTAGCCCAAAACAGTATCAGTAAAGTGGGCGTGAGCTAGCCCAAAACAGTATCAGTAAAGTGGGTGTGAGCTAGCCCAAAACAGTATCAGTAAAGTGGGTGTGAGCTAGCCCAAAACAGTATCAGTAAAGTGAGTGTGAGCTAGCCCAAAACAGTATCAGTAAAGTGGGTGTGAGCTAGCCCAAAACAGTATCAGTAAAGTGGGTGTGAGCTAGCCCAAAACAGTATCAGTAAAGTGGGTGTGAGCTACCCCAAAACAGTATCAGTGCGTACGCTACTAAGAAAAAATAGGAAGTGTCTGCTAGAGGCAGAGGGTGAGTATGGCTCTGCTTGGCCTGGCTTAGAGTTGAGCAGGCATCATCTCCTTGGGAGAGATGTTTAAGAAAGGAAGCCTGAACAGATTGTCCTAGGTCAGGTTCCCCTGGCCAGGGTGACCTTGCCAGGGAATTGACTGTCAGTGTTGAGAGGATCGGGAGGAGAGCAGAGCAGTGAGGGATGATGTTGTGGGCTTTTTAAGGTACTTGAGGTGGCTGTTTCTAGTATGTTATCATGGAGGTGTAGAATTATGTACATGAGCTGCTTTTATTCTCTGCTCTAGGAAAGACAAGTTACAGATGAGGCAATGCTGTAGTCGGAGAAACACCTCAGAGGTGGGTGGTGGATTAGCATTTGAACTCTCAGGTCCGAAGGTCATCTTTTGGAGACATCTTTATCTCAATGATCTTTTGTTAGATCTCCATGCTGGTGAAATCAGTCCTTTCCCAAAATATGTGGCTGGATTAGAAGTACTATTTGGTGCCCCCCCCTCGTGTCCTTATGTGGGACAGGGCCAGAGTCCGGCCAACCCCGCAGAGTGGTTTTCCTGGCACTGGACATTGATACTTTTCCTGTGTAATTTCAGAGAGAATTCTGCCTGCATTTAAGGGAATGTAATTAACCTCATGCTGTGGGAACCTTGGGTCAGCTGCGAAGCCTGTAGACTTCATTTTCAGAGTGTTGCTTTAAACATACAAGCTAAAATGCATGCCGTTTTATGGAAGGCCAGTCCCACTGAAGGATCAGTTGATAACACAGTTGGAAAGGACACGTTTGCCCTGGTGCTGGGTCTGTGCTGTCATGCACACTGAGCTCCTTTGTGTCCGAGTGACCTGCTCTGGCCTCGGCACCCTTGTACTGCTGTGTTTCTCTTTATATTCCTCCAGCCACTGGGGGTCGGGGCAGGGTGAAAGCAGAAGCTTGGGGTCATGGGGACAGACTGGAGAGGCGAGCCTGCCTTCTGCATTTAGATTTCCATCTTGTCTGGTATCTTCTAAATATCTGGTATCTCTAGATGACCTTTAATTCCATCTTGGACATTTTAAGATGAGAGCACTTGGGCCTGAGATTGCAGATCTGTGACATTGGAAAACAGTAACAGAAGAAACCTCAAGTGGCCAGGGCATCGCAGGCTCTAAGAACCTAAGTCTGATACCTAGTGGCTTTTTATTTCTGAAGATCAGAGCCAAGCCATGGAGTCACACATGCCTGCCCTTCCCCAAAACCCTAGCTAACTGACCCTTCATTGCCTCTGTCTGTGTGTGCACACACTATAAATGATCAGTTTAGTACTAAGTAACTATTGTGTTTTGACAGTAGTGGTGATGAGACTGTCGGCTCATCTATATACTTTACTTTGTGTCCGTGTAAACACAATGTAGCTAACTAATGGTGTCAGCACAGGAGTCACGTGTTCATGTTAGGATGTGTCAGCTGCACACATCCCTCAGCCAATGATCCTTGAGAAATACCTGCAAGACTGCTTGTTGGACATTCTCCATATATGTATTGCTCATAACAGCTCTAGGAACCAAAAACATTTCTTGGCCCTGTGCCCTGAAGACTAAGACTACAATTACTCTATATTTCAAATTATATTTTTGTGTTTTCCTTTTTGCGAGGGTCAATATGTATTAGGGGGCACATTCTGCCTAAAGAGAGATGGTCTCCTCTTCCTTGTTAGGATCTGAAAGACAGTGACCTGCTTTGAAAACCACAAGTTATGAAATAAGATATTAACAAAATTGATCAGATTGCTTTTTACTTTTTTGTCCTTTAGTGTGAATTGCTGAGTGGGCACCCATGCTCATGTAATTTTTTTTTATTTCCTTATTTTATTTATGTGTATAGTCGAAAGTTTTCTCCAGTCCTGCCCAGCCCTGTGGTCCTGTACCTGCTTATAAAATAATCACTCAGAGGCTTAATGTTACTTACAAACTGTATGGCCTATGGCAGGCCTCTTGCTAGCTAGCTCTTATATCTTAAATTACCCATTTCTATTAATCTATGTTTTGCCACATTCCGTGTCTTTACCGGTCTGCTGACATCTTGTTCCTTCGGAGGCAGCTGGTGTCTCTCCAGACTCCATCTTTCTCTTTCCTGTCTCTCTCCTCAGTGTACAGAAAGATATCCCACAGCATATGTGTGTATGTGTGCACATCTTTGCAGGGTTATGCACACATGAGTGCAGTGCCCACGGAGGCCAGAAGAGGGTGTTAGATTCCTCACAGCTGGATTACAGGTAGTTGTGAGTCATTCAACATGGTGCTGGGAACCGAGCTCTAGTCCTCTGAGCGGTGTGTGCTCATAACTGCTGACGCGCCTCTTCACGCATGCATTTACTGAGCAGCCATCTGATAAAGAAATCAGTGCAGTAGATTAAAAGGGAGCAGCCTCTCATTTACATATTTAAATTCTCCTCCTCTGCAGGTTACTTCTGCACAGGCAGTTTCTCACTTCTGAAGATGGAGTTTGTAACTGGGACACTGCTGCAAATTGCCTTGAGATAGTGAAGAACAGCCACGTTAATTAAAACAAAATGATAGTAGATTAGCTTCTGAAAGGCTCTGACCATGAGTGCGGGGTCACAGGCTGCCGTCCTTCATAATGCAGACTGCTGTGCCATCTGCATTGTTCTGTGACTTGGTTTCCTCACTAAGTACGACTGTGAGATTTCCCATTCTGTTTTCACTCTTGTAGTCAGGTCACAGAGGAGTGGGATTGTTGGGTCTTCAGGATGTGGGTGGTGGTGTGGGACTGGCTTTCCAACTTTCTATGTGAAGTTCTCATTCATTGGTTGTACTATCTGCGTCCCATCTGTGCACAGACCTGCCGACCCTGCTGTTCTGTTTGGGTTTAGACTAACCAGGCATAAAGTGTTTTATCTCTTTTTTTTTTTTTTTTTTTTTTTTTTTGGTTTTTCGAGACAGGGTTTCTCTGTGTAGCTTTGCGCCTTTCCTGGAACTCGCTTTGGAGACCAGGCTGGCCTCGAACTCACAGAGATCCGCCTGGCTCTGCCTCCCGAGTGCTGGGATTAAAGGCGTACGCCACCACCGCCCGGCGTGTTTTATCTCTTTTAAATCCCGTGTATCTGACGTCACTGGGGCTGAGTCATTCTGTGTGTCTGGGCTGTGGAGGCTTCTTCACTTTGGAGATTGCACTCTTCCTATCTGCTGTCTAGTTCTTGGCCTTCCTCCTTCACAGGGCTTTGTTTGGATATATTTTACATGGTGATCCACCCTCAGTTCCCAGGACTGCAGACAGTTTCCAGTCAGGGCCCTTGCTTCTCACTTAGTTTAGGGGAGTGTGGTGCTTAACAGACAACTTGACAGGATCCGGAATCAATGCAGACGGGCCTCTGGGTATCCAGGAGGGGTTATCTAGATGAGGTCGGCTGAGGTAGGAAGACCCACACATGGGCAGCACATTCCTCAGGCAGCATCCTGGGCTGAGTAAAAAAGAGAAATTGAGCTCTACTTCCTGACTGTGGGTCATGTGACCAGCAGCCTCCAGTCCAGGCTCACTATGAGGGACTGCACCTCACACTGTTGGCCCAGATGACCTCTCCCATCCCAAGTCACCTTTGGCCTTCCTCTCCCTCCTTTGATAGTGACTCTGCTGTGGACAGATTGGTGCCCAGTAGCCATTTTCTGCAGGAAGCTCTGAGCTACAGGTTCCTTTCCTTTCTTCCAGGTCATCGATTACATTCTGCCACCCTTGGTCTCCTTGGTTCAAAGTCAGAACGGTGAGTGAGACTATGGTACTGAGAATCCGGTACACCTTTCTTGGTTTTGGTTTTTGGAGATAACTGGGGTGACCCGGTCCTCACCACCCTCCTGCCTTGCAAGCGTACGGTCAGGATGAGCACGTACCCTGTTCTTCCTCTCTGTAGACTCACGTTCTTGCCATTCTTCATTCCAGTGGAGTGGAGACTCTTCAGCTTGCGTTTGCTCTCCGAGACTACAACCCTGCTGGTGAGCCAGGAGCTGGAGGATGGGGACGAAGAGGCCAGCTGTGACTCCAACAATAGCCTTCTGGTGCTCATCAGGGACGAGCTGCTCCCCCAGTAAGCGCTGTGCCGTCCACTCACAAGGGGACGCTTCTGTCCAGCTGGCCCGACAACGGGGTCAGCGCTTGATGTCCCCGTGTCTTTGCACATACTTTCCTGGTCTCGTGCTGGGGAGGTCTAGACACGAGCAGTGGCTGTCCCACTGTGGAGGAGCCAGAAGAGTCTCAGCCCCACTTCACAGCCTCTGTTGGGCGTTGTTTGCTTGGTACAGTACCCTGACACAAACTGAAGGATGTTCCTAGCTGGGGCCCGGTGGAGTGGTGGTTATGATTCAAGAACATGGACTTGAGACTTCTGGCACATCTCAGAAATGAGAGTAATGGAGGCCAGTCTTCCCTTTCCCCAGACTCTTTCCGGAGGGCTCAGTAGCCTAGGTGAAGAGTATGAACATGGACATGGAGGGGCCTGTTCTTCCTTCCTGTTCCTGCATGCCTCACACAGCAAGGCCACAGCAGCGGATTCCCAGGAACTCCCAGTGGGGATGGGGAACCCTCAGTTTGATCAAACAATGATTTTTGTTTCTTTCGAGAGGGTCTCCCTCTGTAACCCAAGTTTTCCTGGGACTTGCTATACAGCCCAGGCAGGCCTGGGGTTGACACTTGGTCACTGTGCTATGCAGCCCAGGCAGGCCTGGGGTTGACAATTGGTCACTGTGCTATGCAGCCCAGGCAGGCCTGGGGTTGACACTCGGTCACTGTGCTATGCAGCCCAGGCGGGCCAGGGGTTGATACTTGGTCACTGTGCTATGCAGCCCAGGCAGGCCTGGGGTTGACACTTGGTCACTGTGCTGACGCTATAGGCGTGCAGACCACGCCTGCTCACGGTGTTAAAAGGAGATCATTACAGGGTTAGATAGATGTAAGACTGTGTATTTCATCACTGTGCATGCCTGGTTATGGCTTCCCTCAGGCCTGGGCTTGGTCTCAGTCAGATGAGCAGGCATTCCAGAAAGGCAGCCTTGCCCGAGGCATCCCCCCGTCTGTTTGAAAGTTCCCTGTCTGTGGCATGGAAGACAATTGTCACAGAAGAGGAGACAGGTGAATCATGTGACTTTGCCAGTGGTGAGAGTTTGAAATGCCTTATAGAGAGTTAGATCCACTTGAAAACATAAAATCAAAATCTAACATTTCAAGTGGCTTAAGTCCCTGCCTGACTGGCTGAGCAAAATGCATGATGGGAAGGGGCTGATCTCCTTCTGCAGGGCAGTGACAGGCCAGCCTCTTTGTCATCCTTCACTTCCTGCAGCTTTTTGTGTTACAATTTCAGATCATTTAGCTGAAGAAGTTGCTCATTTGTATTTGTGTGTGTGTGGGTGAGCACCTGTGTGTGGGTGAGTACCTGGATGTGTGGGTGGGTGAGTGTGTGTGTGTGGGGTGGGGGGGTGAGCACCTGTGTGTGAGTTAGTACCTATGTGTGTGGGGGAGGTGAGCACCTGTGTGTGTGTGGGGGGGGGGAGGTGAGCGCCTGTATGTGTGGATGAGTATATGTGTGTGTGGGGGGGTGCCTGTGGGGGGGGGGTGAGCGCCTGTGTGTGGGGGGTGAGTACCTGTGTGTGGGTGAGCGCCTGTGTGTGTGGGGTGAGTACCTGTGTGTGTGTGCGCCCCTCTGTGTGTGTGTGTGTGTATATGTATATGTATGTATATGTGTGTGGGTGAGTGCCTGTGTGTGTGCATATATGTGTGTTTGTGTGAGTGAGCACCTGAGTATGTAGATGAGCACCTGTGTGTGTACATGTGTGTTTGTGTTGGTGAGAACTTGTGTGTGTGGGTGAGCACCTGTGTGTACAGACGTCAGAGGACAACTTTCAGGAATTGATTCTCTCCTTCCACCATGTGAGTTTCAGGGCTGGATCTTGAGTGATCCATGGGGCTTGGCAGCAAGCACCTTTACCTACTGAGCCTTCTTGCTGAACCTACTGCTCAGCTTCAAACACTGCGGACGTCTCGTTTTGCCGATGGCTCCCATCTGAGGATGGCTCCCATCTGAGGATGGCTCCCATCTGAGGACTCTGGGAATCCTGCTTCCAGCCGTGCAGAGCTATGCCTCCTGGCTTGTCAGCTCCACATGGCTTCTGTAGCACGTCACCACAGACCAGCTGGCGTGGGATGGCAGACGTGTGCTCTCCCTTAGTGCAGAGGCTTCCTCTAGCTTCTGTGGTGAAGCTCCTCAAGCCATGTCTATTCCATGACTTCCTGCTGGGCTCTGGTAACTGCCAGACTCTGCCTGTTGTGGTTTTCACACCCTAGTCCCCTCCCCCTCATCTCCACAGCTCACATTCTGTCTTTCTCTCATAAGAAGGTCTTATTGGTTTAGGGTCCATCTGAGATTAGGTGGCAACAGCCCGAGATCCCTAAGAAGGTTTGCAAAGATGTTCTCCATGGCAGGACCATGCTCTGTGCTGGGATGGGATGGTAACTGTAGAGGGTGCCCACTCACCCCACTCCTGTAGGACCATCGCTCCTGTAGCTGCCCCTGATGCGGGGGGCACTTCTCATGCACACTTTAAGCCAACGACTGTCAGATCCCACTGTGCTCAGAGTCTCTGTGATGACTCTGTCACCATGTTCAGGGAACTCAGGCTGGCCACTGGTAGCCCCTCTCTTCTGGCTCAAGTGTGTGTCTGTTGGTCCATCCCCTCGTGTGTGTGTGCCTGCCCTTACTTGTTTCTGCCCCCCTCAGCTACCCTTTTCTTCATGGTTGGGATTTGGGCGACAAAGTGAGAGGAGGTTTTTCCTTTTAGGGGAGACAGATCTCACATCTTCCTAGAAAATCATCCTGGTTTTTATTCAGTGGGCAGACAAGGTTGGATTTTAGAGGGTCATGCTGAAGATAAGAGACCATATTTAATGGCTCTTAAGCCCAAATCCTTGTTAATTAACAACAGGATCTCTCAGGAGTTTAGTGCTCAAACCACTATCAATGAAGACTGAGAAATGAAAATAGTCTTATGCTCTTTGAGAGCTGACCGCAGAAGGTGAAGTTGAGTCTCTGTGGGGACCGGTCTGGAACTGTCATTTGGGGAACTAACTTATCAGTGTTATTCTTTGGGAGCAAGAATTCACTATTCACAGACAGGTAAACATAGATTACATTGTCTCAATTTACTATCTTGATAGGATTTTAACCTTGGGATAACTAATGATTCCCAGTTTTTATCACCAAACTGGGTCCTTTTTACCCACTTGGAATTGTGGAACTGATAACAAGATGGAGCAGTTGCTGACCAATTAGAGTAGACTTTGTCCTTCACCAGGTGGGAGGTAGAGGTGTTCAGGTCAGCTTCTCCTGTTTGGGGGTGAATTGTAGATACAGGGTAGAAATACAGGGAGGAGGTTGTAGATACAGGATAGATCCGGGGAGGAGGTTGTAGATAGAGGGTAGATCCAGGGAGGAGGTTGTAGATGCAGGATAGATCCAGGGAAGAGATTGTAGATAGAGGGTAGACCAGGGAGGAGGTTGTAGATACAAGATAGATCCAGGGAGGAGGTTGTAGATGCAGGATAGATCCGGGGAGGAGGTTGTAGATAGAGAGTAGATCCAGGGAGGAGGTTGTAGAATCGGGATAGATCCAGTGAGGAGATTGTAGATGCAGGATAGTTCCAGGGAGGAGGTTGTAGATAGAGGGTAGAAATCCAGGGAGGAGGTTGTAGATGCAGGATAGATCCAGGGAGGAGATTGTAGATACAGGATAGATCCAGGGAGGAGGTTGTAGATAGAGGATAGATCCAGGGAGGAGGTTGTAGATAGAGGGTAGATCCAGGGAAGAGATTGTAGATAGAGGGTAGACCAGGGAGGAGATTGTAGATGCAGGATAGATCCAGGGAGGAGGTTGTAGATGCAGGATAGATCCAGGGAGGAGATTGTAGATACAGGATAGAAGCCCAGGGCTTGGAACAGGCTAATAAAGTGGGGGGGCCGTGTTCATGTCGTTTTTTTAGAATGGCTGGAGATTTTTCTAGGAATTTTAAAAAGTTTTGATTTTTTTCCTGATTATGTGTGGATATGTGCATATGTGAGTGTGGGTGCCCAGAGAGGCCAGACTTCTGTCTTCCTTGAGATGGTTCTGGTACTACCTTGTCATTCTCATGGATAAGCAGCCCCTCAGGGGTAGGGTGTCCTGCAGGGTTTTATTGTCTCAAAGATGGCACCAAGGAAAGGAGCAGGGCATGCCTGTTCCCTGAACCTTCAGCAGAATCAAAGGCTGTGATGGAGGCAGGGGCCTGGCTGTCTCCTCCGAGGGAGGAGTGCGCGTCCTGCCTGCTGCAACTTCAGCTGTTTATGAGACTGTCGAGAGGACGCCACCTGATGTCGCGGGAAGGCGTAGAACACGACAGTTAAAGCATTTCTGTCCTTGACCCCGCAGTCAGGATAGGCGTTCAAGGGACTGAGCAGTCCTAGGGAAGGTCTGTTGCTTGGCCTGACTTTGGTCACCTGCAACAATTTGAGCTTTGTAGTTTATGTATTTATTTTTAAGCAGTGTTCAGCATTGGAGGGATCATACTGATAAAATGTGTCTGCAATGTCATTATAACAGAATGGCACCCGGCGTCCCTCTCCTGGGGAACATAAGCACAGCCTTTCTTCCTTTTTCATTTTTAAAAAATAATTCTCTTGTGACCTGTAAAATCTTCAGGGCCATAATGACTTCATACATCATCAGGGCGCCATTCTTTAGAGTCCAGGGGAGGAGCATATTCCTCCTCACAGGTCAGAAGACATTTCCTTTGAGGATTTGAGATGGATCCCACCCCTGGCCCCACTGTCGGTTCGCTGAGCTGTTGTAGGCCTGCTGTCCAGCAATGACCATGACTTGCACTTTCTAATTCCTATTCCTGTGGCTCAGAAGACTCTGCAAAGAAGTTTCTTTGTTTCCCTGAGGCACAAGGATTCTGGGCCAGTGCGTAGCTCCATGGGGGAGCACTTGCCCACAAGTGCAGGAGGAGAGAGAGCAGTGGAGTGGGTCAGGCAGGAGAAGTGCAGTGTTAGAGTGAGCAGCAAGCTCTCGCATCGGCTTGACTGTTTGAGGGACTTAAATGTGGAGTTCATTGATCACCTTCATCTTTCCCCTTGCTATTGGGCTGAGAGTCTTCACTGTCATCATGCTGTGGATAGAACTCATCATCCATGGATATAACTCTGGGTACAGCCATGGGTTCGACACTGGGCCTCGGGTCCACCAGGGAACCCAAATGTGGGGGATGCCTCCTGCTCACTGGGCCCTTGCTGCCTGCTCAGCTCACTGTTGACTTTCCCTTGTTACTGTCTTACGGAGTGGGGGTCACCGTCACACAGCCTCCCTGGTCTAACTTGTGCAAGCCTTGTCTCGTAATTATATGTGCTTTTCTCAGATGTTGGCATGTTACAGTCGGCCATTTTCTGATATTCAGTGCATATGAGGGAGGAAAACTGAGTCATTTCTGGTGGTTTTATTCCTCAGGTATGAGCACATCCTCATGGAGCCTGACCCAGTTCCAGCCTATGCTCTGAAGCTGCTTGTCGCCATGACGGAACACAACCCGGCTTTCACCAGGTACTAGGAGGCCAGTATTGCAGTTGCCAAGGGGGCCCCTGTCCAAATCCCTGCTCTGTGCTGTCGTCATTGGTGCGGTTTTGGCCCAAAGTCACATGTTTTAATCCCTCACTTGAGTTTGTACCCCATGGAATGGATGCTGCCTCAAAACGATGAAGCTTGGACGCAGGGAGATGGCTTGGAGGACCTGAGTTAGAATCCTGGAAGTCATGTAAAACTCAGATTCATAGTATGGGTATAGTCCCGGCACTCCCAGGGCCAAGAGAATCCCTGGAAGCTGGCAGGCCAGCTAGCTCAGTGTAGACATGGAAAAATAGCAAAGAGACCCTGCTTGAAAGCAAGGCAGCAGAGGCCAGGACAAGCTGAGGTTGTCTTCTGAATGACACTTGTGGTGTGGTACGTGTGTGGCATATGTGGTATGAGCACACTGGCACACACAAGTAAACACATGCACATCTTTACACATACAACCCAAATGACAAACTCAAAAACTCAATACACAGCAGCATTTTTTTTGTGTGTGCATGGTGGTCTTTTTTTTTTTTTTTTGAGACAAGGTCTCACTCTGTAGTGGAGGCTGGCCTCTGGCCTCTAACTCACTGTGTTCCCCAGACTGGTGTCAAGCTGAGACCAATCTTGCCTGCAGACATGTGCCACTGTGTCCAGATTATATGATTTTAAAATGTCAGGGTGCCCTGCTCTGTAGTGAAGGGACCATTAAGTCTTGCTTGGATTGTTGGTGGCTTTCCTACCATCTGATTGAGCTGGTGTGACTTGGAGCAGGGGAGAACTTTGGCCTGTTAAGAGCTCTGCAGACAGGGCACAGTGTGTTATTCACTGTACCCAGTCATGACAGCTCCGAGTGTACCAAGCCTGAACCCCCCTTTCTTTGTCCGTTTTGAAGCTACATTCCCACAGTTTTTAGACCCTTCAGACTGAGCACTCCATCCTCTCTTCCTAAAGCAGTTGAATTCTAAAGTTTCTCCCAACAGCCGTGGAATGGAGTGGAGATTCAAGACTGGTGTTCTTAGACATTCACATTGAGAACTTTCAAAGTCAGCTTCATCTGTCAACATGGGAAGGGGGACCCTCAACTGAGCACTTGCCTCCATCCTATTAGCCTGGGGGTATATCTGTGTTGCATTTCTTGATTGCTAATTGAGGTAGGAGGTCTCAGCCCACTGTGAGCAGTGCCGTCCCCAGCAGGTAGCCTGGGCAGTAGAGGGAAGCCAGTGTGCAGCATTTCACTGTGGGTCTGCTTCAAACTCCTGCTTGAGTTCCTGCCCTGGCCTCTCTCCTTGATGGACGGTGACCTGTGAGATGAACTTAACCCTCAGATGAACTTAACCCTTTATTCTTGTGAAGTAGAGTCTTCCTGTACTACAGGCTGACCTCAGACTCACAACTTTCCCAGACAGACACCTGCTGCTGCTGTATCTGGTTCTTTATTAACAATTGTTCCTATTGCGGGTGTTCTGGACTCCTTTTCTTCTGTTCATCTCCATGCCCTAGAGAAGAAGGAACATAATGAGCCGCCACAGAACTATCTATTTTGAAAATGATTAATCATCTAGGCTTAGAAGTTAACTCACTGTCCTCCCCCCCCCCCACAAGCATTTTAAGAAGAGGAGTCAGTGAACTGATTTTTAGAAGCATTTTGTTTTGATCTGGACAAGTAAATATTAGAATGTATTATCTCTGTCTTAAATTCTAACAGTAAAGCCACGAGGTTCTCTTCCTACCGCATCCCCTCACTGTCTGAATATGCCCCTCCCCAGTGCAGGAGTTGGAATTTTGGTGTGTGACTGTCCAGGGCAGCTGTGACTGCATCAGTTACACACACACATATCCTCAGGGAGATGTGTGTATGTCCTGAAGTGTTGTAACTCTGCATTGTGGTGGTCGATTTTTAAAAATTTAGACTATCTTTCCCTGTTTTCTTGAAAATTGATTTTTTTATTTATCAAAACACCTTGGTGCTCTTTGCACACCAGTGTGAATTTGTACTCTTGGTGATGTCTTTGCTAAACTAATATGTAAAAATTCGATTTCATTTTATTCGGCATTCACCCAACTACTCATAATATTGAATCTTTTCCATTTTTGTTTTCTATGTCTAATTAAAATAAAAGAGCTACGTTGCAGGCTGTGTATGGTGATACACATCATTAACCCCAGCATTCTGGAGGCAGAAACAGTGGACCTTTGTGAGTTCCAGGGCAGCCTAGTCTATATAGTGAATTCCAAAAGAAGAAGAAAAAAAGTTGAGCATTTCAGAACCAACAGCAAGTTGGGGAGGGAAGGTTTTATCTACACTTGCACATCACTGTTCACTGGAGGAAGTCAGGACAGGAACTCACACAGGGCAGGAACCTGGAGGCAGGAGCTGAGGCAGAGGCCATGGAGGGGTGCTGCTTACTGGCTTGCTCCTCATAGCTTGCTCAGCCTGCCTCCTTATAGAACCCAGGACCGTCAGCCCAGGATTGACACCACCCACCGTGGGCTGGGCCCTGCCACATGAATCACTAATTAAGAAAACGCCTTATGGCCAGATCTCATGGAGGCATTTCCTCAACTGAGGCCCCTTCCTCTCTGATGACTCTAGCCTGTGTCAAGTTGACAGAAAACCAGCCAGCACAAGCACTTGTGGGCTAGAGAGATGGCACAGTGATTAAGAGCTCTGACTGCTTTTCCAGAGGAGCTAAGCTCAATTCCCAGCACCCACATGACAGCTCACAACTGATTGTAATTTCAGTTCCAGGGGATATGATGCCCTCTTCTGGCGTCTGTGGGAACTGCATGCTCATGGTACACAGACATACATGCAGGCAAACACCCATATTAAAAAAAAAAAGAAAGAAAGAAAAGAAAAAGAGCCACATCCCCTTCAGTCTTCACCTTCTAATGTTCCTCAGGAAAGTTCACAGGTTTCTCCCGAGTCAAGAGATTTTTAAAATGGGAATATTTTCTATAATTTACAGGACTTTATATAAATATAAAATTAAATTGTGACATAGCCATAATATAGGATAGTATAAAATAGCCTAAAGGGGCAAGGCACATTTTAAATACTAATACACAAAAATAGCTGAGTCTTTTTATTAAATGAAGTAAGTTATTTACCCCCCCCCCCTCGTTCATTGATTTACGGATTGATTGATTGATTCATTCTTTTGAGAGATGATGGCACTATGTAGCCCAGACTGGCCTTAGATTTGTAACATTCCTGCCTCAGTCTCTGAGACTGCAGGTGTGCATGCCCAGCACCCTCACCCCCACCAGGAAAGTGCTCAGACCTTGACAACATTCTGAGACTCTGGGGGTCAAGAGCAAAGTGCTGAACACCATGTCTTCCTATCTCCCTTTACTGAGATCCCGTGTACAGCTTATGAATGTGCGTTCGTTCGGCGGCTCTGAGGGAAGGAAGGAGAGGCGTTGTGTGTGCGGCTAGACTCTGGGCTTTGACTTTATTCCCAGAACTTTTTTTTTTCTTAAATACACTTTGAGTTGAAAGTTTCGCGATTATATTTCTGTTTTTTTGTTTTATTTTGTTTTTTGAGACTCATATAGTCAAGGCCGTTCTTGAACTTGGTATGTAGCTGTGGCAAACCTTAAACTTCTGATCCTCCTGTGTGCACTTCTTGGACAGAGTGAACAGTACAGCTCTGAATATTCCATCTGCATTTCACAGATCCCTTTCTGGAGAAAATGTTTATCTTTTAGACTTGAAGATATGGTTAACATGGGCTGTTTGTCACACGGGGGCAGACAGAATCCTGTCACCAAAGGGTCTGAGCCAGTGGTTCCCTGGTGTGTCTCTAGGAACTCTGTTGATAGTCAGATCCTCAGCCACACCCAGGCTGGCTCCGCTGCAGTAATTGCTGCTTCCGAGGAGCTCTGTGAACCAGCCTAGGCCAGCTGGCTGCCTGCTCTGCAGCAGCTGTGCACCAGTGAGCACTGGGGGACTTGTATGAGTTTGTCACTCTGACACGTGGAAGTGAGTGGCGTTGCTTGCCCGTTTTACTGCAGTGTGGTGGCTGGTCGTGTCTTGCTCCATTGTCTCCTTTGCGTCCGAATGGCGTTTAACAAATCTTCTGTTTCTGTTTGGACCTTGTGCCAAGGACTGTCACCCCTAATTCTGGCAAGTGTCTGTGGTCTCATTCTGCTTCGAGTGACTTGGTGGCCATGGGTTTGTGTAGATGCATGTCACAAGAAGCATTCTGTTCTGTGCAGACATGTTTCTTGTCAAAGCATAACCAGGAGTCATTTGTAATCAACATTGGACCATTACTGTCAGTTGTCAGAGGATCATATATCGTGTCTGCATTGAGAACCAAATAATTGTTGGGGTTTTAAAGTACCCTGTGTCACATGAAGCATTATCTTAAACATTTTTATTATATTTTAATTTCCATATGTACATATGTGTGCACACATGTGGACATGAGAGGACAACATGGGGAGACTGACTCTCTCCTTCCACTCTGTGGGTCCCAGGGATTGAACTCATATCCTCAGGCTTGTCTGCAAGCACCATCCATTGCCTGCTAAACTGTCTTGTTGATCCCCACACATTATTTTTAAAATTTTACTTTATAGAATTTTTAGTGGGTAAAGCATCCCTTAAAAGCTTGGTATTAGTACCGTTGAGGATTTATTTTACCCACTTCTAAAGAGAAATAAGTACATGATTATGGTGGCTTGAATGAGAATGTCCCCCTCCCCCCAGGTTCATATGTTTGAATGCTTGGTCCACAGTCAGTGGAACTGTTTGGAAAGGACTAGGTGGTGTATCCCTGGGAGTGGGTTCTGAGATTTCAAAAGGATGTAAAGCTCTCAGCTACTGCTCCAGCACTGTGATGATAATGGACTGACCTCTAAAACTGTAAGCAGTCCCCCGATTAAATGCTTTCTTTTATAAGAGTTTCCTTGGTCATGGTGTCTCTTCACAGCAATAGAACAGTAACTAGGAAATGATCAAATCCACATTCTAATGTGCT